TGTGTGTGTGTGTGTGTGTGTGTTGTGTGTGTGTGCGTGTACACAAACATATATGGGTGGGTTTGTGTGTATACATGTTTATGTATTCGGTTTAATTAACATATAATATATACGTAAGTATAATGCATGCATGTGTATACGTATACAAAAATATACGATTTGCATACATACACATCTTACATAGTTTCTAAATAATTATTCATATATATATATATATATATATATATATATATAATACATACATGTGTTTACGCAAACTATGTATTCACACGGATATCTTTATGGATGCATATCTACAATATATATTACGTCTAACTGCAATCACTTATACGCATCCCTACACATCTACCCTCCATATTATCATGTGCATATATTTTGCTTTTATAGCTATTGTGTGTTTAAGCGTGTGCATCTTTTAATTCAAATATGGGAATGAATATACATTACAAGCCGTCGACATATATTTGTATAAACTATCTATATTTATTCAGTATAATTAATATATATTATATACATATATGCATAATTTCGCATATGTATACGTATATGAATCTATAGGATTTTCATATATATACGAATATCTTTTTATGTACATATTCACGTATGTATATATATATGTATTCAGTAATAAATATATATATATATATATATATATATGTATATATATATATTCGTACATACCTATATATAATGCATACATGGGTGTACTTGAATGTAACTACACGGTTTGCATACACACGCAAATATCTTTATGGATACATTTCTGCAATATACAATACGTCTACCGCTTCATCTGTATGAATTTATTTGTTTCCATATTTCGTATTTTTTCTCTTATACTTGCATATTATCATGTGCATGTACCATGCATTTATAACTATTGTGGGTTTGTACACACGCATCTTTTAATTAGTGTGGGAATGCATATATTTATATTACAAGCCATCGGATATATAAACAGTTGCATATATGATGTAACATATGCGTTCAGTATATTTCATATATAAAATTATACAATTTTCGTATACACACGAATATGTTTCTAGATACATATTTACATGTATATGTGTATTTATATATATATATATATGTACTCAGTATGATAGATGTATGTATGTATGTATATTGCATACATGTGTACGTAAATAAAACTACGATTTGCGTATACACACGAATATCTTTATGAATACATCTACCACTTTATCTGTATTATATGCATATTCGTATTTCTTTCTACAAGCACTTATACACATTACTATGAATATTGTGCATTTATCACTTATGTGTAAACGCGCCTGTGCATCTTTTAATTCATATGTTGGGATGCAAATATACATTTCAAGCCATCGATATACATATATTCCTATATACTTATACAATTTTTTGTTTGTATAGGAATATGTATATATGTGTTTATACACATTTATACAATTTTAAATGTTCATCAATTTTTATATACACGTATTTTTGTTATATAAATAACAGCATGTTCTATTCATATTTAAAATCGCATATTTACTTGTTTGTTTAGTTTGTGTGTTTATATCTCTTTGGATAAATATATGTCTTGCACGTTTGTGGTTGTTGTGTGTAGGACTGTGTATATACATATATATATATATATAATTATAATTATCAATGTCCATAAATTTGTATATATATGTCTTGCACAATTGTACACATACTTGTATGTTATATACATATTTATAACCGTATAATCACTTGCATGTACAGTGTTCATGTGCTATAATCTTTTTTGTAAATTTATTATTCGTACACGTTTGTTGTTTAGATATTGACTGGTTCTTGACTGGCACTAGTATCCCCCGTAACATTATTGTAAGAGCAACACAGAGTGTGTATTTTTATGTCATCGTAGCCCATTTGAAGGTCAATTGCTTAATGCCGGGTTAATATTTAGTAAAGCTTCCGGCTTCTAGCTTATCCTTTATATTATCATTATCTGGACCTTGACAATTATGTAATAAATAATAGACATTTTAAATGCAATAATTGCAACCTATTGATATGTACTACATATAAATAGATCATCTTGGTGAAATGTATTTAAATAAACTGCTGTGTCTTCATCTCTAATAAAGGCGAACTCGTCCTCTGCATGCTGTAACAGTGTATGTTGTTCAGGTGCCATGCATTTTTTTGAAATTTCCTTTCGCATCACCTCTTGGGGAGTCGATCGCCATGATCACCAGTCGTGACTCGTAAGTGAGTGTTCGCTCTATTGAGGGGTAAGGATATTTTAACTATCTCTGGTAAAGATGTCACTTCGAAATGATGTAGCTTCTGTAAGTTATGTTCCTCTATGCAGAAACCGTAGAGCATTGTGTATTGTACGGCTTATAATGGCCATAATCGGGGTTGAACCTACAGAGCGTGCGTGCATTTTTCTGAAAACAAATGTACATAGTACTGTCTGTACAGTGTACAGTCTGTACGACACTACGACTACGACTCTACAGTCTAGAGTGAGTCTACGTAG